TCTGGAGCTGTTCTGGGCATGGAATGCAGCAAATCCTGGTTATTCCCTGTGCTTTTGCACAGCAACACAAACTGCAGGGGAAATAAAGGCCGTGCTGAATTAATTGAATTATTTCAGAGATGAGTTTGGTCCACTAATTCCATATCGACTTTGGGCTTTAAATAGCATTAAGGACCCGTGGTAAAAGTCAATTAAAACTCAGGAGTGCAGCTGGAGCAGGGGAAGGGCACATCTGGGCACGAGGTGCACTAATGGAACCTGTTCCCTTGGTCTGGTGGTGGGAGCAGAATTTAATCTGTTTAATCTGATCATGGCCTGCTCCTTCTGTGAGGAGAGCAGGGTGGGATTGATGAACCTGAGGGGGTTTCTGTAGGCTCTGTGGGTCCAGGGACCAGGCAATGGAACTCCTGCTCCCCTGGGAGATGCTGGGGTGTGATGTGAGGGGATGGTTGGAATGGGAGAGCCTGGAATCTGCAGCAGCAATTTGCACAGTTTTTATTTTCCATTTTTCTCCCTGCTACACATTCCAGGGCTCATCTTTTTAATGAAATTAAATTCAGCCAGGCTTGAAATGTGCCATGAAGGCTGAGCTTGGTGTGGGATGTTGGAAAGCAGCAGGAATTGGGATTCAGTGCATGAGCAGAAGGAAACCTGGGCTTGGGGCACATCTTGGTGCTCACACTCTGTCAGGTTTTATTGACAACACATTTTGTGTTACTTACAGGTCTCCTCTGCCTGTTCAAGCTGTATTTTATGAGAACCTCTCCTCCTTGGATGTTCAAGGGTTAGATCAGCAGTGGGAACAGATAAATCTGACAGTGCTGTGCTGTGGTAACTCAGACCCCAAAGCTGGGGAATCAGTGACCCCAGATCTCTCTGTGGAGGTCCTTGTGTGGATTCCTCAGGCACAGATTCAGTGCCCAAGGGTTTGTACCATCCCTTCTCTCAGTGCACCACTCTGCCCTGTGGGGATAGCACAGGGAACATGTTCTTTTAGGAAAATCCTGGTTCCTGTGCTTGTTTTTCTCCTGCCACTGCCACCCCTCATTGCCAGCAGCCTCAGCTCCCTTTGCATCCCTGCAGGAATTACCTCAGGAGCAGCCTGTGAAGGGGCACACGCTGTTCCCTTTCCCTCTTGGACCTCTCTGGGAGCAGCTGCCTTTTCATTTCTGTTTTATTGGGTTGTTCCAAGGCTGCCAGCTGGATAGAGGTGAGCAGGATTTTCTCTGCTGCAGTCTGCAGGGAACGAGCATCACCGTGCAGCCATTCAGCCCTGGCAAGTGCTTCCTCTTTTTCCAGATGATTCCAGCAGCTCTTTTTGTGTTCAGCCTATTGTCAAACAGCACCACAAAGACTCGGGGTGTTAATCCTGTCATTGTTCCGAGAGGAGCTGCTGAGTGGGCTGTGCTGGGAGAGAGGAGCTGCAGGTGCTGCCAGAGTTTGTGCCTTTCCCTGGCACCACCTGGGAATGTCAGAACTCCCTCCTGTGTCCCAGCAGAGAGGGGAATGTGCCAGAGCACAGCTCTGGAGGTGGGACAGGGCTGCTGGAGAGGCACAGCCCATCCCTGCCTGGCTCTGCAGGGGATAAATGGATTTTCCCAAACTGCTCCCAAAGTCCTGGCTGCTGAGCAGGGCAATTCAGGGTCCTGCAGGCTGGGCCCATCCCTGCTGGCCAGGAGCTGCTTCAGCAGCATCACTGAGAGCCCAAGTGCCTCTCTGCACGGCTCCTGCAGGCTGGGCCCATCCCTGCATGGCTCTGCAGGGGAGAAATGGATTTTCCCAAACTGCTCCCCAGGTCCTGGCTGCTGAGCAGGGCAGATCCATGGTCCCTGCTGGCCAGGAGCTGCTTCAGCAGCATCACTGAGAGCCCAAGTGCCTCTCTGCAGGCTGAGTCTCCCACCAGAGCTGCACTTCTGTGCCCTGCCCCTCTGTCACACTTTGAGAGAGCTCCCTGTTCCCCAGGGCTCGTGTCTGCCCCACAAGCACTCCCTGGGATTGTCCTGTCACTGGCTAACAGGGCAAAGAGGGAAAAGCCATTCCCTCAAAACAACAATTTCACTGCTCTAATCTGGGACCAGCACAGCTGAGGGGCTGTAACGTGGCTGCAAATGGGGTGGCAGGAGCTTCTAAAACCAGAGCAGCTGCCAAAGCATCTTAACGTGGAGCTTCTGCTGTGAGAGGAGAGAGAATCCTGTGCAAAGTGCTGACTGCAGGCTCTGCTTCCCAGCTGCTCAGCATTGCCTGGGCCCTGCAGCTTTGGGCTGCCTCCCTCCTGAGCCCCAGCAGTGGGGAGGGCTCCTGAGCTGCTCTTCATCCCCAACCCCAGCAGCTCGAGGTGGTTTTCAGGGGGCTCAGGCAGGATGGGGAGGTTTGGTTGTGCTGTTGGCACATCCAGGTGTGTTCCCAGCCAGACCCTGAGCGTGAGCAGGGCAGGGAAAAATATGTGGAGCTTGGGTTTCCAGTGGGAAACAAGAACAGAAGGATCCTGTGCATTTCTTTAGCTGGAAAGTGATGCCAGGAGCTGTTGTTGCTGGGTTTCAGTGGGAGGGGGATTGAGATGCACCTCTGAATGTATCAGGAAATCTGCACAGGGAAAATGCAGAGCACAGAAAGTAGGTCTGGCTGCTGGCTGTCACTTCAGTGCAGATCAAGTGTGTTGTGGAAATCTTTGTGTGTCTCTAAAAAAAACAAACAAAACAGCAAAAACAAATACGAGAGCATCTGCTTGTGTATAAATATACCTGCTATTTTCTGAGTTTGTAGTTCCCATTACAGCATATGCCAGTTTTTCTGGTGTGCCAAAGAGCAGGAACATCTCCAGGAAATGCTCAGGTTAGTTACAACACCCAGATAAAAGCTGCCTGTGCCACCTTTATGGAGACACAGCCAGCAGAGGACAAATGCACTGGGGAACTTGGTGCTTACCAGACTTTTTTCCCTAATTTTTATATGTTTTGCCAAATCCTTTGCTGGCTGGAGGGTGAATGTTGAGACAGCACTGAAAGCTGAGCAGTGGTTTGTTGAAAACTCTGCTTGGGCAGGAGGTAAATAATGTGATTTTTTTCCCCCAGTGACCACCCCTAGATACCCTCAAGCACTGGTTTTGGGGTGGGAGGAGGGGCAGGCAGCTCTGGAAGGATGCTGCTGTCCCTGGGAGTGGAACAATTCCAGAGAGCCCCAGCACAGCTGATGGGACTGGGTTTGTTGTTTATTAAAGACAGACCTTTGTACAGAAAATCCTATTTCTGTACCAATAAAAACTCTGCTTCCCCAGTTGCTGTTATTGGCAAACTCAGTCACTTTGGTGTTTTTGGAGAAGGAAGGACTGGATGGTGAGGAAGCTTCATCTGCTTGCATTTTGCTCTGGTGGCACAGACCTTGCTGTGGGACTTGGTGCTTCATGCTGAGCCCTCCCCTGGCACCCCAGCCCTGCAGCAGGGCCAGGCAGTGCCCTCCTGCTCAGGCTGCCTGGGACCCTCCTTTTGAGCAGGGAATCATCCTCTGGGGGCCCACTTTGCCCCCAGCCCACTGGGATGGTGCAGGGTGGCTTTGGCAGCAGCAGGAGCACAGAGCTGCAGAGGGATTAAAAGAAGCTTCTCCAATAATTGCAATTACACAAACATGCTTGAGCCTCGTGTCCTGTCTAATTGCTCCCCAAGAAAAGAGGCATTCCTCGGGGCACTGCTTTTGTCTGAGTCAAAGAGATATCCCAGTGCCTCAGGCAGCCTCTCTGCATCCTCAGGAGCTCTCCTGTGCCCTGGGTGGCAACTAAACTGTGCTTCAGATCCCTCTGGAGATCAGCTATCCCTCCAGGATGCAGGGAATTGTGTGCCAGGCAGGGAATTGTGTGCCAGGCAGGGATTTGGGCTGGCAGAGCCCTTGCTGCCATGCAGACCTCACAGGCAGCTGGCACTGCTGGCTGTGGCTCCCTGCCCGGCTGCCCCGTGGCATTTTTGCCCTCTGAGGTGCCTCTGCTCCATGGAAAGGATCCTTTTGCAGCTGGGGATCTTCCAAGGAAGCTGGCAGGGCTTTGGCTGCCTCTCCACGAGGCAGGAGTTGGGCAGGGATGGAAGGGGACAGCCCAACCCCAGAGATGGTTTTGTGTGATTTGGGGCTGCTCTTGACCAAATAAATGTCCACTGTTAGAGGTAAAACATTCTCTTTTCCCTCAAAATTCTCTCCCTCCTTTTAAGGGTTTTTGCTCTGAGGTGTTAAGAAAACCACTAAACATTCCAAGGTTCCTGGTGAGGTGCAAAGTAAAGCAGTAAATGGTCCAGAAAAGCTGATTTTTGCCTTCCCCTGTCCCTCAGTGCAGACATTCCCTGGGGTGTCCCACAAGGTGAGCTGTGTGCAGCCAGCCCAGCTCTTGCTGACGAGCACCAAATGTTTAATTCAGTGTGTGCCTGTCAAAGCACATGAAAAATGCAGGTGGCACTTGGTGCCTGCCAGGCTGGCACTGCCACAGGGGGATGGCACAGACGTGGCACACTGGGATGAGCTGGGAATGCCCTGCAGGGTCCTGCCAGGCTGGCACTGCCCTGATCCCCCCAAATCTGCCTCTCCCTGGTGCTGCTCTCAGCTCCTGGGGATGTGCCTGGGCTGCTCTGTGCCTCTCTTGTCTGTTCATCTCCAGCTCCTGCTGGGTTTAGCCCCATCCTGAGGCTGTCCCAGTGGGAAGGTGAGGTTTGTTTTGTGGGGTGCCTGCAGCTGTGTCTGTGTGCCCAGCATCTCTGTGCAATTCCCAAGCAGAATTCATGTGCAAATGCAGTTTGAAAAGAGATACAAACCCATTCAGGTGAGGCTGAGTGAAGTTCATAAACCCCAAAAGGGTGAAAAGAGATTTTCTGGGAGATGGGAGAAAAAACTCAACTCTCGCTGGGCCTGTATGGAAACACTGGGAATTCCAGGCATGTCCTGTGAAAAGGGCAGCTTTGGGGCTGGAGAACAGTTGCCTCTTTCCTCTGAAGCAGCCAACTGAGCTTTGTTTTCTTGCCTTGCAGTCCTTCCAGGGCAGCCAAGGACGAGCGTACCTCTTCAACTCCGTGTGAGTACCCAGCGCGCGCCGGGGGGGTTTAACAAAACCCTCCTGAAAAAGGGAAAAAAACCCCAATTTCCTTCAGAAAACTCTGCCTGGGAGTTGGGAGCTTCCTGCAAATGGCTGGAGGAAGAGGCAGAAATAGCCCCTGATTCATGTTGGAGTCGTGAAGGGGTGTCAGATAGGCAGCAAGGAAAAGGTGATTTTTTTCGTCACCAGGAACCAGAGCTAATGGCTGAGTCATTCTCCTCTCCCAGGATGTAGTGGGACCAGAAAAGCAGAGTTCTGGAAATGTGGACATAGATGATATCTAAATATGCACTTCATAAAAACTGAGTGTCATTTTCCCAGTGACTGGAAATAGTTTTGGGGAGGTCACTGCTGCTCTGTCTTTCAGCACAACTGCTGATTTCAGTCCCATTTTTCAATTTTCCATTTGGGAAAGTAAAAGTACCATTTTATCAATTTGAGACTGAAAATCTTTCTCAAATGCCTAATTAGCACAAGTGACTAGAGTGTTATTAATCTCCTGCTCAAAGCTTTCATTGAGTTTTTTAGTTGAATAAAAATCCCATTTTTACCTTTTCATTCTGCTCTGGAGCTGTTCTGGGCACAGCTGGGAAACTCAGAACCCCCTGCTCATGTTTTTAAACCCTGCAATGAAATAATTGTCACCTTTATTGGAGCATCCTGATGTGGCAGGGCACTAATGGGGAGCATCTGTGCTTTGTCCCAGAGTCAACGTGGGCTGTGGCCCTGCAGAGGAGAGGGTGTTGTTAACAGGACTGCACGCCGTGGCAGATATTTACTGTGAAAACTGCAAAACCACGCTGGGCTGGAAATATGTGAGTATTTGTGTCCCTGCCTCTGCCCCTGGGCAGCTCTGCTCCAGCTGAGGGGGTGGAAAGGTCGTTTTGGGAGCCCAAAATATGCAGGTTTTCATCTGTGACCATCTGGTTTCCTGCTGTCTTGTGTGTGTTGCATTTAGAGAATCAGCTTTAATTTTTAGTTTTATTTTCATTAAGAATTTACACCTGGTTTTAGGGTGAGATTTAACATAAATGAGGATAACTTCAGTCCTGTGGTTGACACTTTTTTCTATTATTCTGGTAGATGTTATCAGTGTTAATAATGGAATGCTCCATTAATCCTGTGTCCTTCCCACTGGAAATGCTGTTGAACACGAGTTTATCTGTTTGCTCTTCAAAAATTCAATTACCTTCCAATAAAATCCAATGTTGCCTCCTAATTTCTGCTTCTGGAGGCTCACACCATTTTGTCCAAAGGTTTTCACCAGTGTCTGAACTGGTGCAGGATTTAATATTCTAGAAGCAGGATTTAAGGGTCTAGGAACTGGATTCAGTATTCTAGAAGCATGATTTAGTATTCCAGAAACAGGATTTAGGATTCTAGAAGAGTGATTTAAGATTCCAGGAGCAGGATTGATGTTCTATAAACAGGCTTCAGTATTCTAGAAGCATGGTTAAATATTCCAGAAGCAGGATTTAGGATTCACAAAGCATTATTTAAGATTACATAATCAGGATTTAGTATTCCAGTGTCAAGATTTAGGATTCTAGAAGCAGAATTTAGTATTCCATAAGCAGAATTTAATATTCCAGAAGCGGGGTTTAGGGTTCCAGAAGCAGGATTTAATATTCCTGAAGCAGGATTTAGAGTTCCAGGATCTAGATTTGGTATTCCAGAAGAAGGGTTTAAGATTCCAGAAGCAGGATTTAGGACTCCAGAAGCAGAATTTCATATTCCAGAAGCAGGGTTTGGGACTCCAGAAGCAGGATTTAGAATTCCAGAAGCAGGATTTAGGATTCTAGATGCAAGATTTAATATTCCAGAAGCAGGATTTAAGATTCTATAAGCAGATTATAAGATTCCAGAAGCAGGATTTGGGACTCCAGACTCAGGATTTAGGATTCTAGAAGCAAGATTTAAGATTCCAGAAGCAGGATTTAAGATTCTCTAAGCAGAATTTAATATTCCACAAGCAGGATTTGGGTCTCCAGAAGCAGGATTTAGGATTCTAGAAGCAAGATTTAAGATTCCAGAAGCAGGATTTAAGATTCTCTAAGCAGATTGTAATATTCCAGAAGCAGGGTTTGGGATTCCAGAAGCAGGGTTTAGGGTTCCAGAAGCAGGGTTTAGGATTCTAGAATCAAGATTTAAGATTCCAGAAGCAGAATTTAGGATTTTTTCCCTCCCAGTTTTCCTGAGAGCCAACAGGAAGACCTGCAGTTCTCTGTGGGCAAGGCTCAGACTCGCACCAGCATTCCCAGCTCTGATCCATGACCTGATCCCACCCAAATTCCACCTCAGTCTCACTCTGCTTCTGGTTTCCTTTCAGGAACACGCCTTTGAAAGCAGCCAGAAGTATAAAGAAGGCAAATACATCATTGAACTAGCTCACATGATCAAGGATAATGGCTGGGATTGAGGCAGGGCCGGCCCCAGCCGCGTGCACGAGGCGCCATCCGAACATTGTACCCGAGAGTGAGAGAGTGACTGAACGCTTGGTTCCATGCATTTAGAGGCTCTGCAACCCAGGAGCATCTTCACACCCTTCTCCATCTTTATTGGTGACTGGCCTCTAAATTTCTGTCTCTCTGTCTCTTTGCTTTGTATCTGTTTGTGAGTTGACCCTGGCTGCTTCTCTCTCTGTTCTGCCGTTGGCTCAGAGAATGCACCGAATGCCCGACAGCCATTCCATGTGCCCAGAGCTCAGCCCGGCCTGCCCTGGGCTCTCCTGGCACCTCCAGGTGGGGGAGGAAGACCCCGAGGTTTGGGCAGGAGGAGGTGGGGGAGTGGGGCCCCAGGGGAACCCTCAGAGGGTGATGCTGTGCTTCTCCTTTCAGTCCTGGCTAAGCAAGGCTTGAAACCATCTCCTTGGCTAAATGGACAGAGAAATACCTACTTGTCTGAATGGATAGAGAAATATCCACTTGTCTGAATGGATAGAGAAATATCCACTTGTCCAAAAAGGACAGAGGAATATCTCCTTGTGTGAAAGGACAGAAGTTCCCTCACGGCTGTGTTTGCTCCCCGAGTCCATGGGTGGAGCCTCAGCCCGAGGCAGAGCCAGCTCCCCCCACAATCTGAGTTTTGTTTGCTATTTATGAGCTCCTTGTTGGAGGGGGCAGGGCCTGGAGGCTGGAGAGATTCCCTGCCTCTCCTTTTTCTCGCTGGTTCAGGGTGGGGAGGATGAATGTCCCAGGGGAGTGTGGCCCTGGGGAGCGTCCCCGCGGCTGGAGAAACCAAACCCTGACTCTGAGCCCTTCAGAGAGGAGGAGAAAACCACTTCAGGCACAGGGAGGCTGGAACTGCAGCCTAGAAAACGTGGAGGGGTGAAAAAAAGCACGTGTGAGGCAAGGAGGGGGAAATTCCATAGAGGAGGACGGGGACACACAGTGACAGAGGGTACCCCTGGATTTCCTGGCCTCCCCTGAGCACCCTTGGTGGTGTTTTACCAATCTCTCACAAGTGCAAGGAGGAAGATGCTGTTACAGAACCTTTTCCTTGAATGGAGGCTCCACTGGGGGGCCTGGCACAGAAATGGGGCGAGCAGGGAGCTGAGTTGCTGGCAGGGGTGTGGCACAGGTGGATATTTCAAGCCCTGAGGTATCCCCCCCAAATCATCCCCCCTTTTCCCTCTCCCAAAAGCCCATTGCAGAAAAAGAAATCCAACATCTTCCCACCAGCCCTGGAATGATTTATTGAGGGGGATGGGGGTGTCAGAACTGCAAGGGACAGCCAGTCCTTCCCATTTTCATTTGTCCCTGGTGATTCCCCAGGGGATGGTGGGGAAGGGGTGTCCTGTGGCCAGGGGAGCTGTGTCAGGCCAGAAGGAAATGAGGAGTTTGCTCTGCAGCAGCCCAGCCAGTATCTGGTGCACAACCCAGGACTTTGGAGCTGAGTTCATTGTGTCTCTCCCCCAGTGAATTTTTTCTTTTTGTTGGCAGAATTCTTTCAAGTAGGTTAATCCATGGGGGGAAATCTTCCTTAATCCAGAAGGAAAGAGTGTTGTGCAGGGGGTGGTGGCTCCTTGTGAAACAGGAGCTTTGGAGCTGTGATCTCTCATCACTGGCCCCCAGCCTGAGAGATCCCAGGGGGCTGTGGAGGAGTCACTGGATGTTCACTTGGCAGGGAATGGGAACAGGGACTCTCCTTAAGGATCAGGCTGGAATTCAGGGTTGGATCCTTGTGCTGACAGCCAAACCTGATGAAGCAAAGGTTGTTTTTTTTCTCTCTCTCAAAGCTCTGTTCTTGACAGCCTTGGAGAAATGAGGTGGAGTTGGCTCCTGCAGGGGCTGGAGTTTGTGACCAACCTGTCCAGAGGTGGCTTCTGCCCTCACCCTCCTGCTCTGGCTGTGTAACAATTGCTTCAGCTTTTGTTTTGGATTGTCTCTGCTTCTGCCAGCCACATTCCCTCAGTGACAAATGCAGCAAAACTCAGAAATTCCACAGCACCTGCTGTCCTGTGGGTCTGGCACTGCCCTGGTGCCATTTCCCTGCCCTTTCATTGAGGATCCATGGCAGTTCATTGGGTTTTGACTAGTGGGAAGTAATTCCTGTTCTTCAAAGAGCTCTTCAGTCTGCACAGAGCCTTTGAAGGAGCTGGGAGAGGAAAGGGATCATCCCAAACCCTGTGAGGCTGAGGAGAGCACACAGGGCTCGTGGTTTGATGTTGGGATTTGGAGTGACTGCTGATCAAAAAGCAAAATAAAAGGCAGGGCTGTGCAGAGAACTGCTCTGAGAAATGCCAGCTGGAAATGGTTTTATCCATTCATTTGGGACAAAAAAGGAACTGCCCCATCAGACCTGGCTGGTTTTTACTGGTCACAGGTGCTGGGCTTTTAATGGCAACCAGTCCAAGCTTGAATAGGGCCAGGTCTTAATCTGCTTTTAATTGGTTTTGTCCTGTCAGTGTCTGCTCAGAGCCGTGAGCCCAGTGTGTGGCTGTGCCCAGCACCCAGAGAACTCCCTGGGGAGAGGAGAAATTGGCTTTGTGAGCTCCTGTGTGAGTCCAGGGAGCAGGAGGAGCTTGAGCTGCCTCCTGACTGCCCTGGGGGCTGGCAGGAATTTGGGAGCTGTGCTGGTGGCACAGAGTGACACACTCAGAGATAACCAAAGAACTTTTCTGCTGAGCTGAGCCAGGTGGGGCCCCTGGGAGCTGCTTTCCATGGGCAGCAGCCTGGGGAAAACAGGAACAGCAGTGAGTTTTCCTCCTTTTCGTGGTGTCCAGCCTCGTGTCTGGGCAGCTGTGAGCACCCTTGAGTTTACATCCCCCCCTCTACCCCAAAGCTCAGACTTGAGTAAGTTTTAATTTGTTTTTGCTCTGGTGTGAAATCCTGACCCCTGTAAGAAATATCCAGATGATAATATATACAAGGCAGAAAAAAATAACCCCCAGACGTTACCTTGTGAAATATACTTTTGTAAATAATATTTAATTTTTTTTAAAGAAATAATATATTTGGTGCTGTTTTCTCAGAGCCCCTCCCTGAGAGCACTTTTTTTGTTGTTGTTGTCGTTTATGATGATCCTGTTTCCTTCTGTATTTGTTGGAAAATATGTTTAAAGGGAAACAAAACTGGTAATTGACGTTGTCCTCTGAGGTGGATCCGTGTTTCCTGTGGATGTGGCAGGGGAGGGGACAGGTTTGGTGGCTGGGCTGGGGACAGCAGCCCCCAGGGGGGATGTTTGGTTTGGGGGGGCTGCAGGCACTCAGGGGGCTCCAGGTCCCCTCTGGCTTCCCCAGATCCCCTTTGCTCCCAGCAGGAATCCCCCGGGGCTCCCCTGTCCCTGGTGTGGAGGATCCAGGCCTGGAGTTTGCCTTGCACCACTTTTGGCTGGAGTGCAGCAGACCTGGAGCTGCAGGAGCTGGGCTTGGACAGGAGCTGCAGCCTCAGGTAGCAGGGATGGAGTTGGAGCTTTGAACCCAACGTTGATTTTAACCCAAACCACAAATCTTTGGTTTTATTTTTGAGGGGAGTTTCTTTTCCTTGTTGTTTTGGTTTTTTTTGGTTTTTTTTTAACCAGGCTGCTACATAACAAATTAGAGTAAAAGTTTACCTCTCTTGGCAGTAAAGTTCATTTATTTTGTTCTCCTTTCTGTCTTTAATCTGCCCCCTTCTCACCCTCCTTCGTTTTTATTTCATCTGGTCTCTTGTTTATCCCAAAGTGGACCAACAGCACAAACCACTGGACTGTGTTTTGCTGAGCAAGGAGCTGTTCAAGAACTGGTGCAGTTCTTTGGTTCTCTGGGTTTGGTGCTTCAAACCCCAGAGGAACAAAACCACCCCTGTGAAACCAGCCCCCTGTTCTCGTGATGATCAAGTGGGAATTCTCTCTCTGTGTGATTTTTCCTGGCTGCTCTGTGAGCGTGTGTGAATCATGCATTTCACTGCACTCCCCTGCTTTGGGAGCAGCTTCCAGCTGAAGCAGTTTTGGGATGAAGAGGGGACACCAAGCACCAAGCTCAGCTGGGTGGGAAGGAGCTCAGTGCTCAGAAACAATCAGGTTAGAGATTTTCTGCAGAAATCCTGGTGAAAAAGAACAAGCAGAAGAGGGGAAACGAAATCATCTTGAATTCAGAAAAGTAAATAAATCAAGAATCAATATATTTAAATGCAAGCAGAATGGCATTGTGTAAGGTACAGCCACAGATAAGCTGTTCTCATCGTTACAACTGTGTGTATCCTTTGTTTTGTTCTTCCTAAGGAAATGGGAATGCTTTCCCCACTGACAAAACTAAGGACAATATTTCCAATACCAGCCTGTCTATGGATGCTCTTGTGTTTACAAATTGTGTATATTTTTATTTCTTTGATCTTATTTTAATTTTTTTTTTGCATATTCTTTCAGGTCATTTGCTTCAGTCATAAATGCAATTGTTTGTTTTCAAATAATTGGTTTTCACCTTTTCATGTATTTGTACATTGTATATAGTTCTTCAGTATTAGAGGGAGGCGTATTGTTTGTCATATTTACAATATGTGTTGGTGCTCATTTGAGAAAATAAAATTTTCAAGTACTAAAGCTGCTGCTCCAGGTTTCTGCTTTTATTCCGTGCAAATCCCTGCAATCCAGAGCTGCTCCCAGGGGATGGGAAACAGCAGCTCCTGCTGCTGCACCTCCAACACTCCAGGGCTGGCTGGAAGGCAGTGCTGGGGTTGGGATTTGGGGATGGGTGCGTGAATCCCTGTCATCACTGCTGGGGTGGCAGAGCCCTGTCCCCGTGCCCTCTGTGCCCTGTCCCTGTCTCTGTGCCCTCTGTGCTGCTGAGTGCCCTTAATTCCCCACGGGGCCAAAAAAGCCACTTCACCCTGTTTGGGGACAGCTGAACTCAGAGCCCTGAGCTGGGGGTGAGCTCAGGCCACGGCCAGAAAGCTGCACCTGAGAGGGGCTGGGGGATTCCAGGGGCTGGGATGGGATGGGATGGGATGGGATGGGATGGGATGGATGGATGGATGGATGGATGGATGGATGGACGGATGATGGATGGATGGATGATGGATGGATGATGGATGGATGGATGGGTCCCCAGTCCCCATGAGGTGACAGTGCTGCCGGGTCACCGTGACCTTCCCCGTGGCCAGCACATGGGCTGTAAAGAGTGGCAGGGCTGAGCCTGGGGCAGCTCCCAACTCCTCTCCTCCCACCAGCCACAATGAGGGATTTTTTTTTTCAAAGGATGATCACAAAGCTAAAAATACAACAGCACCAGTGGCCTTTAATCCCGGTTCAGCAATCTGACACTCCTGCTCTGCTTCCCAGGCGGCTTTTGGGGACACAGGGGTGCTGCCAGCTCCTCTCCATGGGCTCACTCCATCCCTTTCCTCCTGCACTCGGGGTCCAGCCTCACGGATGGCCCCGGGCTTCCCCAGCTCCTCCTTTCCCAGCCTCCCTCCGAGGATTCTCGCTGACAGGGAGGATTTACAGTAGCGCCTTCAGGCTGCCAAACACGCCGGGGATATTTTTACCCGGCTCTGGGGTGGGGTATAAATAGAGCCCAGGCTGTTCTCTGTTGCTGACCGAGAAATGTCCCACAGAAGCGGGCCAGGCACGAAGGAAATGTCACCTGAACGTGGCCACCCCTGGGGGGACTCTGAAATAACAGAGCCCTGCTGCCACCCCTCTCCTTGTGGCCCCCAAAACCCACAGGGTCCTGCTCTGTTTTGGGGGATCTGGGGGTGGTGTAACCTAAATTTAATCAAATCCCTTCATCTGTCAGGGCACCCCAAGTCTGTAAAGGGGATCAGCCCTGTGAGGGCAGCACTGGGGGACTCAGGGAAGGACAGCAGGGACACAGGGTGACAGACATCACCAGCTCGACTTCTGTGAAGAAAAAAAAACCCAACCCATGGAGCTTTTCCAGGCTGGCCTGTTATTTATGGCTCGGGATCAAGCAGCTGCTCCCGGCGGGGGCTGCCCTGCTCTGGGCACAGGGGAGGCTCCTGCAGACGTTTGTTCCCTGGATGGAAACTTCTGATGAGGTGAAGTGAAATGCTGGGGGAAAAAAATCATAAAATCCTTTAGCAGGGCCCGACCTCGCCCCGTGGAGCTGTGCCCCTGGGTGAAGGGCTCTGAGCAAGGCTTTGGATGCCTGACAGGAACAGCAAATGCTATAGGAGCGCTTTTATAGAGCTCTGCTTCCTCGTGAAAGCCAGCCTGGTGTTTGCTTTTCCACTTGGACAAGGATTTTCCCATAATTGTGCTATTTTTATGTAGGTTTCAGACAGCAGCAGAGGGCCTCTCCCAGGCAAGCCCTGGTGCTGGAGGAGCTCAGCCTCTGACGCAGGTTCCCCATCTTGGCCAAGTGCCTTTGCTGGCAGATGTCTCACCCTGGGGAAATGGGGGATTTGCTCCATCCCTGCCTCACAGGGATTTTTCTTTTTTGGGGTTTCCTGCCTGGAGATGAACCGTGGTGCAGACGCTGCCTGAACCAGGGGGAAGCAGCAGAGCCTCCATGGTACAAAACGGGCTCAGCCAAAACTCCTGCTCTGAGGACACAAAAAATCAACACCTCAGCAGTCAGTACCCATTTCTGACAGACAAGGGGCCCTTATCTCCCCCAGGGCAGCTCATCAACACCCCAATCACTGCTGGTGAGGCAAAGGGTAGGGAAACACCAGGAGTGATGGCCACCAGCCATGCCCATCACCAGTGCCTCCCCCATCCCCAGGTTTTGCTGGTTTCTGGATCTATTTTTGCAGGGAAGGAGCTTTTTTTGGAGTGCTGTTGCTGCTGGAAGCTCAGCTGGGTTTTGCTGCTCAGTGTTGTGGCAGGTCAGTGGGAAGGAGCCAGGTGGGAGCAGCTTTTATCGGGAGGAAATGAAGTGGCTGCAGGGTTGAGGCTGCGTTATCTTTAATTTGAGGTGGGGTTTCTGTCTGACTGCTGCATTTGAGCTGCTGTGCCCGCTTGTGGGGGCAGCAGGAGGAGGCTGTGATGGGGGACTGTTGATGCAAATCCTTTCGCAGGCTTGTGGAGGTGAATTTAATCTTTAGAGGCCTGGTGGGAATGAGCTCTCCCGGGCTGGGAGCTGCCAGCAGCCGGCGCCTGGAGCCATTAGCAGGGCACTAATAATGTCCTTTATTAAATCACAGCCACGTCATCAGCTGCACTTGGGGATGTGGCTGCTTGCACGTCCCTTCCCACCCTGCCTGCTCCTCTGGGTGCTGTGGGAGTGGATTTTTTCCTGTGGGTTTTCAGCAGCTCTTTGCTCTGGGGATCCATCCTGCAGAAGGAGCTGGTTTTTTACTCAATTCATCCCCAGCTCCTGGTGGCCTCAGATACACAGGGAGTTTTTTTTGGCTCTGTTTGCTGTCACTAGAAGAGAGTCTGTGAGCTCCTGAGTGAAATCCCTTGTGCCAAACCCGAATTCCCCCCAAAATACAAATAATTCAACCCAAACTGGGCTCTTGTGATCTTTGCACCTGCCTTGGACCAGGCCAGGCTTTGCTTGGGTTTACTGGAGCTGCTTCTGTGAGCCCCATCACAACCCAGCTCTGAACATGTGCAGTCCATTCCCAAGGTTCCCAATCCAAAACTATCTGGGAACCAGGCAAGGTTCAAGCCTTAGGAACACCCCACCCTTGCTGGAGCTGCTGGTAACGGGGACAGGGCTCCTGTTGGATTAGTTACCCACAAGCAAGAAAAGCTATTTTGAAGCAGAGGCTGGGAATGTTTGAGCTAATCCCAGGTGGAAGCTGATTAAGGGCTCGTGGGGGAGATTTGGAGCAGATCCTGGTGGCACAGGGAGCCCAGTGCCCTGCCCAGCAAACCACCCCAACCTCCAAGGAGTGAGAGGAGGGGAAGCTCAGCCCAGACATTCCCGAGGTGCTGGAGGGGATTTCTTTGCACAAACCCTTGCCAAGGGCTGGGGAGCTTAATCCTGACCTTTGGCAGCTGCTGGGTGCTGGGAAGGGGAGAGCTCTGTGCTCCTTTCCAGGCTGGTGAGCGAAGGGATCACGAGGGCACCTTCCTGAGCCCTTCAGCTCCGTGTCACCCACTCCAGGGGGCTGGCAGTGGATTCATCCTGTCATATCCTGGGGAAATATTGAGATTTTTGCCACCATTTTCAGGGGCTTGTGAGTTTTCCTGGTGGAGATTCCCACCCTGGGCTGGTGAGCTCTGCTGCATGCTCTGAGAGGGCAGTGGCTGTGCCAGGGAGCCAAGGGTGCAGGCTTTGGGTGGGATCTCGAGGATGCTCAGCATCCTTAACCTGCCCAGACACAGCTTTCCCCAGGGAAGGGCTGCAGGGCTCATTGCCATGGCTCTCTCCACTCCACTGTGCCACGTGGCACCCAGCACTGCTGCATCTGCCACAGGAGGGTGGCACAAACAGCAAATGTTGGGTCAGGTGCCTTCAAGCACTTGGAGGAGGAAATCTTGAAGACAGCCATGGGGGATCTTCCCAAAAAGCAGAGCAAAGCCACCACGTGGGGAGAGTCCTGCAGATCAGAGCTGCAGTTGGGCCCTCCTGAATTAAATATTTGGGTTTATCCACCTTGCCCAGCCCCAGCCCAACAGCAGCCCCTTGTTTGAGACTCACAGAAACACGACCCAGTAAAGAGGTTTCTTGCAGCTCCTGAAACCACAGAGCTTCCTCCACACAAACCCTGAATTCTTTCCCACATCCTGCCCTGGGCAAACAGCGAGCAGGGCTGAGAGCAAACAGCACCAGGTGTAAACTCAGCAGCGTTTCCTCTGCAGGAAAATATTGACTTGCCTCTCTGATCACTCCTGGACCGAAAGCACATTTGGAGCAGCTTTTAAGGAATTGCTTACATTTCATTTTCCTGATTTTTTTTCCACGTGGAGCCCCACAGCAGCAGCATTGTGGTGCAGCCTGAGGTGTTTTTAAAGACCCCGTTTCAGGTGTTTATGTGCTGCTGCACATAAATCACACCTCAAACTATGAGCCCTTGTCTGCTCACAGGCCCTCAGAGCTCAAAATATTCCTGAGGCTGAGCCCTTCCTGCCCAAGGACCCCCAAAATCTCTTCCTGCTTCCTTCCATCCCCAACCCTCCCCAAATTTAGCTGCTGCATGGGGGGAGCACCAAACCCAGGGCTTGTCCTGGCAATGAAGGGAGTTTTCCTCCCAGCTCAAGCTCTGTATGTAAATTTTTTCACACATATATTTGCATCTATCTGATCAGTGGGGGAGCTGGGAGCAAAGTTTCTGTTTGAGGATGCTCAGCCCAGCCCTGCTGCGGGATGTGGGAGAGGGGAAAGCAGGTGAGCCCAGCTCTGCTGCTGTTCTCCGTGTTTCACCACCGGGATGAAGCCAGGGAGGGGCTGCCCAAGGGTTTGTGTGCCCTGGGCACTGTGGGGTTGCTGCAGTGCTCACAGAGGTTTTTGAGTGCATAACATCCCTTGCTCCTTTAGATGAGTAATTCCTTCCAGGAATTAATTTTGTTGTCTCTTTGGAAGATCACAAATTAACTCGCTCCGATTGCTCTTCTCCTTCCCTTAAAAGTGCAGAATATTGGTAAATCTTCTTTTTCAAAGTCCAAGCTGTAATCTGGGACCTCTG